AAAAACGCCAAAAAAGTATTTAGGCGACATGAACAAAGTAGTAAGAGAGTGAGAAAGTAAGAAAAGAGTTCAAAATAGCAAAAACACACTGAAAACACACTAAAACTACAACAATGAAAGGAGCTGCCATGACAGGCTGCCGTTGTCGCCGGCGCCATTCCATGGAATTTGAAAACAGCAAGTATAGACCGGTTCCACCAACATTTCATAAATATACATTAACATTGCAAAAGGCAATATTAACACACTTCCAGCATGGCTAGAGGTGCATTCAACAAGACAGCAGGAGAGAGACACACACACAGGATGCACACACCATACACACACTGTCTCTTCAAGCCTGTTTAGAAGATAAGAGGCACCCCTCCGTGTGTGTGTGTGTGTGTGTGTGTGTACCTGAGGCAGTGTAATCAGTCTCTGGGAGTTTGACTCCCTGCAGTTTCCTCTCGAGGTCACAGTATGAACTGTGTCTGGTGTGACTACTCTCCTGACTGTTTCTGCTCCTCTCTCTTTACAGCAGCTTTCTGCTCTGGCTGACTGCTTTACTGCCTGTGTGACTGGCTTTAACATACTCTTACTCTATATCTAATAGTCCCTCCCACTTATATGTCATTGTGTGTAATGTTGCTAATCACTGAGCACGTCTGATTAATGTTGATATTAGATAGATAGATAGATAGATAGATAGATAGATAGATACTTTATTTATCCCAAGGGAAATTCAAGTATCCAGTAGCATACAAAATACAAAACATACATTAAACATACATTAGACTAAAATTAAAATTCCTAACCTTAAGAATAGAAATAAAAATAAAATAGAAGATAAAATATAAAGTATTATATATATAGATATATATATCTATATATATAATATATAGAATTAGCAGTAGCTACAATAAACGGTGCAAACAGTAAACAGTGCAAATGGAAGTCAGTAAAACAGTGCAAATGGATGTTCAAAATACAGATAGAAATTGTCCATTGTCTATTATCTAATTATCTATTGTCCTCCCTGCCTTTACTGAGAGCTGTTGTACAGTCTGATGGCCAGGGGGACGAAAGAGTCTTTGAGTCTGTTGGTGGAGCTGGACTGGGACAGCAGTCTGCCACTGAACACACTCCTCTGCCTGGTGAAGGTGTCGTGCAGAGGGTGGTGGGTGTTGTCCAGTATGGACAGCAGTTTGTCCAGGGTCCTTCTCTGCCACTGTCACCAGAGAGTCCAGCTCTGTGCCCACTACTGAGCCAGCTCTCCTCACCAGTCTGTCCAGTCGACCAGCGTCTCTCCTCTTGCTGCTTCCTCCCCAGAAAACCACAGCATAAAAGAGCACGCTGGCCACCACAGACTGGTAAAACATCTGCAGCAGTTTTTTGAAGATGTTGAAGGACCCCAGCCTTCTCAGGAAGTACAGTACTTCCATCCTTGATACAGCCAACTATCACAGTGTCGTCCGAGTATTTCTGCATTTGGCAGAGCCCGGAGTTATACTGGAAGGCGGCTGTGGCTCAGAGGCAGAGTGGGTCGTTCCTCAATTGGAAGGTTGTGGGTTCGATCCCCGGCTCCTGGTGCCACATGTCGAAGTATCCTTAAGCAAAATATTGAACCCCAAGTTGCTCCCGATGCCGTGCATTGGTGTGTGAGTGTGTATGAATGTTAGTTTCTGTTCGAAGGACTTTGCCGTCACTGAGTGAATCTGTGTGAAAGGGTGAAAAGGGTGAAAGGATGAATGTGGCACGTAGTGTAAAAGCGCTTTGAGTGGTCGGAAGACTAGAAAGGCGCTGTACAGGTCCATTTACCATTTACAAGGTGAAGAGGACGGGAGAGAGCACCGTCCCCTGTAGTGCTCTGGTGCTGCTGACCACAGTGTCTGACCATGCAGCCCTTCAGTCTGACGTACTGTGGTCTCTCCGTGAGGAAGTCCGTAATCCATGTCACCAGGAGTGGGTCCAGCCTCGTCTCTGTCAGCTTGTCTCTCAGCAGGAGCGGCCAGATGGTGTTGAAGGCGATTCTCACAGCGCCGCTCACCTTGTCCAGATGAGAGTGGGCCCTATGGAGCAGATAGAGGATGGCATCCTCCACTCCCACCTTCTCCTGGTATCCAAACTGCAGTGGGTCTTCTGCGTGGTGGGCCTGGGGTCTAAGGACATGGAGCAGCAGCCGTTCAAAGGTCTTCATAATGTGTGACGTCAGTGCTACTGGTCTGAAGTCACCCGGCTCCCTGGGGTGTTTTTTCTTTGGAACCGGGATGAGACATGAAGTCTTCCAGAGCACTGGGACCCTCCCCAGCTGCAGGCTCAGGTTAAAGACATGCTGGAGTGGCTCCCCCAGTTCAGCAGAACAGGCTTTAAGCATCCTTGGACACACTCTGTCTGGGCCCGCTGCTTTCCTTGGACGAAGCCTCCTCAGCTCTCTGCTCACCTGATCCTTGGTGATGGTAGTGGAGAGGGGGGTTGAACTGTCCATGGGTGTGGAGGGTGGCGGTGGTCTGCAGTCTGAGGTGGTGGAATTGGGGGAGGTGATGGACATGGTGGGGGTGTGAAGTGGGCCGTCGCTTGTTGTGGGAGCTGGAGTATCAAACCTGTTAAAGAACAGGTTTAGCTGGTTTGCTCTTCCAGCATCCCCCTGTCCTGTGATGCTAACCTTCTTCTTGAAGCCTGTGATGGTTTTCATGCCATCCCAGACCTCCCTCATGTTATTATGCTGCAGCTTCTGTTCTGCCTTGTTGTTGGGGAAGCAGCATACAGTTCTGATGGGGACCACAACTGAAGGAGCGTTTGGTCATGGACTGTCTCTGGATCTGTGGTTTGTACTGTGGCGTGAGCAGGACCAGGTCATGGTCAGACTTTCCCAGTGGGGGCAAAGGAGTGGCAGTGTAAGCTTCCCTCACGTTGGCATACAGGAGGTCTAATGTGCTGTTCTTCCTGGTGGGGCAGCTTACAAACTGGTGAAAGTCTGGCAGTGTGGAGTCCAGTGGTTGAAATCCCCGGAGATGGCGATGAATGCGTCTGGATGTTGTGTTTGCAGTCTCGCGATGGTGGAGTGTATGACATCACACGCGGTCTCTGCGTGCACACGCGGAGGGACGTAAACAACAACAGCAATGGCGTGGGAGAACTCTCTAGGCATGTAGTACGGTCTGAGACCTACCGCTAGCAACTCGATGTCTCTGTTGCACACGATCTCCTTCACCTTTGACATGCTCCTGGTTGCACCATCTGTTGTTGATAAACAGTGCGAGTCCCCCTCCTTTGCTTTTGCCGCTACGTCCAAAGTCCCGGTCCAATCTCACTGTAGTGAATCCAGGTAGATCCACATCAGCGTCCGGGGTGTTCTGGGTTAGCCAGGTTTCAGAGAGGCAGAGTAAACTGCACTCCCTGAACGTCTTGTCCGTCCTCACAAGGGCAGCCAGCTCGTCCGTCTTGTTGGTCAGACAGTTCACATTCCCCATTACTATCGATGGAACCGAGGGTTTGTACTTCCACCGCTTAGCCGCTAGCCTAGCCTTCACCTTCGCTCCGGCTCTGCAGCCTCCTCTTCAGCTCCTCAGGTATGGGGTGGAAAATGCTGGCACGTGAAAGCAGCTTCTCCCTTGAATAAACAAGATGTCCACCGCTATGTTATCCGTGAAAAGTCATTGTATCCATAGGATATATAGAGTTCTCCACAGCTAGTGTGATGTAAAGAGTTAAAAGTTTACAAAAACACACTCAAGTTACTAAAAACAACACGACACGCACAGAGCTACTGGATAAGCGTCCTGCTCGCGCCTGCGCCGGAAGAGTATAGATATTAAAAGTTTTACATAAATTTGATATGAGTTAGCATCCCATGCCTTGTTCTGTTGGGTATTTATTTCATTGAATAACCAAACCCAGACATCCCTGTCGGCTGCCTGCTTTAAAGAACAATTCCAGCGCAAAATGAACCTAGGGGTTAATAACACATGTGTACCGAGTTCGTCCGTTCTCTGGGATATGTTTTCATGCTAGTCGAACGTGACCGGTTTTAGCACAAACCGCTAATTACCTCATAACGCTAGTCAATGGGGCACAGAGTAAAGAGAAAAGAAATCGCTATTTCTATACCACTAACAAGGCTCAAAATAGCACCACACTTACACGGTAGCATAATGATGGCCCCTACCTGTAAACCGAAGCATTGAGAACTTTGTAAGTGTACAGACAGTTTATTAAAAAGATAGTTTAGAACAACAGTAGCGTTCACGTATACACCCGGGCGCCATCTTGGGAAAACAGTCACGCGACCAGTCGAACTCTCTGAGATGTGAAGTGAATCTGAGACGTTGTTGCCGGAAGAAAGCAGTGAGCACATAAGAGAAGCACTGAACGCAACAGAGACTAGTGCTTCCACAGGATACACACTAAAGAGATGGCATATTATTCAACCGAATTTGAAGACATCGACAACGAGTGCTTCTCTTATGCGCTCAGTGCAACGTCATTGAGAAATAATTTTCAAAATAAAATACCCCGCGCAAACTCTGGTTCAAATTTCACACGACATCAACACTGTGGCACCAGGCCAGAAGTCAGTCAGAGAAAAATTTAAGTAGTGAAACGCACCGTTTTGTATCCTTTAATGACAAAATACACACGTAAACAACATCAAGCAGGTAAGCAGCTCTGAAGACATTAATGCTCTCGGTGGGATTTGAAGATCACAGAGCATAACTGCGTAGCAGACGCAGTCATAAAGCCGTGCCTGGTGAAATTTCAGGGTAACTCTTCTTGTCTTTGAGAAACTAAAAAGGAATCCATATGAATATGGGTTCACAAAGTTCCTCTGCACAACATACAGCAGTAACAGCTCATCAGTACACATTTTCCTGCTGCCACAGCTGGAGCACGCAGTGCGTTGGGGCCACTGTTCATACAGTGTTACCGTTCATCAGTGTGGGTGCTCACATTGCTGTTACAGTTAATTGTTGTTGGTGTAGACGTGCCCTTTAGTGACTGACGGTTTTGTCTGTTTGTTTCAGCGGTGGTCAGTGCTATCCCGGTGCCAGCTCTGGACTCTTCTCAGTATCCTGGTATCCTGCCTTCACCATCCTGTGGCTTCACTCACAACAAGTTCAGCCTGAGACCGATGCCTTTCCCCAGCCTGACTGTGGACAGAGGATACACACCAGGTACTGCATTACTACTTACTGCTAATACTTCTGAGAATACTACTGATACTGCCATTATAGAGGCAGAGATACAAAGCAGGTAGTGGTCATATTACTAAAACTACTGACTTATACAGACAACACATACATCTGTAGTTCTTGTGTTCAGCACTCTTTAGTCAGTCACTGACCATCTATTGAAATAACCACTATAATTGTGAACTTCTGTACACCAGTCCCTCCAGGGTTTTGCAGGCTTTTTTAAAAATCGTTGCCGCCTAAAATGCCTGATTTTCAAATTCTGTTGCACGTCTGCTTGATCTTGACAACTAGAAACAAGGAAGTGATTTTGGTTAAATTTGTAGAAAAGTTGCAGTGATTGGAGAAAACTGCAAAGTCACGGAGTATTCATAGGTTTGGTTGAATTTGCTCAAATTGTTGCGATGACAACATTGTAACTTCCTGGAGGGACTGCTGTACTCCATATCTTACAATGTATTCAAATTTGAAACAGGCCTAATAAATATATATTCAAAAGCTGTAAATAAACTAAAACACCACTAAAACCAGATTGAACATCACCTCAGCTACTTTCATTTTATGTAACATGTCCTCATACCTAAACAATAGAATAGCTTGTTTGTCAGTTTCTCCCAAAACCACATATATAACAGTTAAGAATACCAACGATATGTATATGGGTCACAATAAACTACCTATACAGCCTTTGGCTAAACATAGGCTAAAATTAGTTCAAGTGGCTTAGTGTAGGCTAATTGAATTTGGGAGCTTTATACTCCAGCAACCCTGATTACCCGAGACTGATGCCAAACACATCAGTTATTCTTCATTCTGAAAGACTTCTGCTCTAATGTTAAAAGGGAAACATAACGTTTAAAAATATGAGCAAGTATGTGAGTGATCAGTCACACCGGGTTACAACGAAGACTGTCTGACAGTCTGGTCCTTTATTTTACTAATAGGACTAACCTACACTGCAATGTAACAACAATCCTTTTCTTTATTTCCATGTCTACATCAGCTGGTACGGATGCTGACTTTTGCGTGGGACTTGCAGCTTTACCTTCAGTCTTTAAACATGATATCAAGTAGCCTTATGTAGGCATCAAGCATATATTTAAGGCCCAATCTACAGAGTTGTCTGAAATGGTAGTTTCATGAGCCAGCTAGCAACAGATGAGAGACTCTGCCAGCAACAGTTGTCAGTTTACCCAGCAAAATCAATGGTCGCCGTCTAGAATGGCGCAATCTGCTTTTGTCTACATGTGAAATGAAGGAATCATCGTTTCAAATATTACGAATTTTGCTGGTGAATCTACCGTTATCACTGTGTATATGTGCCATGCAAGAACAGAGAGTTCACCATGGTTAGCAACAGTAACTAAGGGGCAGGCCTTAGCAGTGTTGGCAGTAAGGCATTACTAGCAATAACATTACTTTCCTTGATAACCAGTAGTGTAACTAATTACTAATAAAATTTCAGTAACAATACTACAGTTCCATTTTTTTCTTTGTCTTTGTTACTATCCCAACATATACTGTGGTTATCGCAGTTATGGTTTTTATTAATGTATCACTAATATAACTGGTGCTATGCTCTGACCGCTGCAGCTGTTAATCGAAAGAATAGTACACGTAATAATAACACAGCCTTAACCTTTAATAAACACAACACTGCAACACTTAATCGTTCTAGATCTCTCTCCACCGCTCCCCTCCTCCCCCTCCCTGACGTATTTAAGCCCCATTTTGCTGCAGAGCTAAATGCTAAACGACGTGGTGGGGAGCAGTAATTCAGTAATTCAGTAATTGGCTAATTCCTGGTCGGCTTGTATCAGTGATTTAACAACAGCAGAGAGACGGGGAGAAGCTTCAGAGTCATTGAATTAGCAGACACACCGGGAGGGCTGATCACTGCTGGCAGAACACACACACTCACAATGAGCTGACAGGAGTGTGAGGTGGGGCAGCTAATGACAGGCGCATATAATGAGCGAGAGATACAGAAGCAGTTAATGAGGCAGATAACATAAACTTTAAAGTCACACAAACAATGAGACATCGAGAATGTGTCCATAAGGACTCCCACTCCTAGCAATTGTGAAACCCTAACACCCAATCAGGGGGCTCCATGCCCAACACACCCAGCTAATGACGGTATTCAGAATTTGAATCAATCTCTTTTAGATCAATTGCTCCTGATGATTGTGATGGAGTGTTCTCGATAGCAACAGCTGATTCTGATCCTTACTTATAGTGATGCATCACATCATATTTTGTGGTTCAAGCTGCTTGTACTGTTCACACCGACTCCATCGTGGGTAGCCCAAGGTAAGATCGGATCACATCCAAACTTTGTTAAATCCACAAAACGTTATTTTAAAGTGCAGTTGAGATCCAAGAGTTTCCAAAGATGCCAAAAATGTCTTTGGGGAAATCTTTCAAAAATTAAGCACAAGACATGAAGAATATTTCCTTTTGATGGAACATTGGTTGATTTGATGAGTAGACCTATATTGCTAGCATCCAGATGAACTCCACATACAATTTAAGACACTTTCCTTCACATGTAGCCATATATATACGTCTCTGTTGGCCAGATCGGAAATCTGATTTCATGTAATTTCATCTTCCTGGCACATGAAAATTAGGGTCAGCTCTACTCTGGTGGTAGTGCATCTTGTGATTTACAGAGTTTCCTAATGGACCCATAGTTTTAACTACTCACTAATGCAGTAACTGTTGTTAACTCTATCTGCCGTTAGCTGGCCAAAAACAACTGAGGTGTTGTTAAACAGTGTTACTTGCGTCCTTCCATCACTGCAGCGATGGATATGAGGTTTGTTGTCAAATATGGCGTGTGATGGAGAGGAGAGGGGTGGGCAGTGCTAATGGAAGGAGGAGTGGAAGTAGATCAAACTGGGGCTAAGGAAAAAAGAGGAAGACACATCCTCCCTTCCTCTCTTCTATGTTTATTACACTTCACTCTTCTTCTTTAGTATTTGTTGTCTGGAAAATATAAAATGTATCCATGGATGGATGGATGAATGAATCCTTCAATCACAGTAACACCAGTGTGATATAACGGGCAGATGGGGTAGGGGAGGTGATGGGGGAGGGGCCTGACCATTACTGCCCACTGTGTTTGTGTTCCACTCCCACCTGCACAATAGAGATTTTGTGTCTTCTCCTGTCCCGCAGTTGAGAAGACACTATTTTACTGTCAGTAATTACTGAGACATTTTGAAAAATGCCAGACTTTTTTTTTTTTTTTTACTTTGTCTCCATCCTTCTGGTGGGTGCAAATTCAGGGATCTGCAGTTTATTTTTTGACCACCCACTCCCACCCTCGGCGAAGTCAGATCCGTTTGCTCCTGTGAAATTTCCTTCCAATGCAGCCCTCTAGTTCTATCTATTAAAACTGCGTAGGTGGAATTGGGTGCGTTTGACTGGGACACCCCAGGACCCTGATACTTTGGTATTTTTAAATAGCACAAATTGAAACAGAAACCTAAAGCAATGATATGAAGTCAACAGGAACAAATTGAAAAATTGGAAAGATAGAATAAAGCACCTATGACAAAAAGTATACCTCTGGGGTCTGCAAAATCTGGAGTCAGTGTTTGGTTTGTCCCTTTTGGGCTACTGTAGAAACATGGCGGACTCCATAGATCCTCAATGTTACACACTGGACAGCCAACACAGAAAACACCAGCGAGAAATTTCACACTCCAACAAGGAGAAAGAACAAAACTGCAAACCTGGCAGAACTCAGGGTCTTTACGCATGAGGAAAAGATTGATGTTTTAAATAAAGTTATTCAGTTGTACAGCTGCGATTTAACAGGTTTTAAAAATCCATGAGCCTTTCAGTGTTTAAATGACAAAATGTGTTTATTTGCTTTCATGGAAAACTAAAGACCAACATGGAATGTCTATCTAAACCCCATTGTAGACAGGCAGACAGACAGACAGACAGACAGACAGACAGACAGATGTTACATTCCTGACAGAAACACATTCTCAGTCCCGTGGCCTTCCTGCAGCAGTAATTTACACAATAGGGGCCCATTTTCTCAACACAATGCTGCCGACATCAAAGCACAAGCTGTCTGTGAAAAAACACTGAAGCTTTTTGTTGCAGAATATTCACACGTTTGAAGTTCTGCTGTTTGGTTTTTCCGATGTATGTATGATGATGATGATGATGATGATGATGAGGATATTTGGTTTTTCTGATGTATTCAGTGTATTTCTGTCTTTTCTCCAAATTAGTGTTTTTTACAAATAATACTGTGATTCAAAAAATGTTTTGTCTTTTTTTGTCTTTTGTCCCTCCTCTCTGTTCCCATTCTTTCATTCCTCTCATCCCCAAATCCATCTGTCATCTCTTTTTACCACTTCACCCCTCTGTACGAACTCCCTTCATCTCCTCCTCCCTCTTCCTCAGCAATGGCTTCAGACACCTCCGCCAATCCTCTCCTCCAGCAGCAGCCTCCACCCCAACAGACCCCTCCCCTCCTCCCTGGCTCGTCCGCCCCGCCCGGGGAACATGTTCCCGGGGTCGGCCCGGTGCCCGGGGCCCCTGTGGCTGTTACCGCAGCCGCTGCAGAGGAGGCACAGGCTGGTAGCGGTCGGACCATCCCGACAGCCTGCGTCCGGCCCACCCACCCGTTGCGAAGCTTCACCAACCCGCTGCTGCCACCCCCAATGGGGACCATCGACCCCAAAGTGTACACCTCCATGATGCCACAGTCCAGTGAGTACAGCTGTTTGGTTTACAGATCAAGGGTCAAGACGCACCCAGGTTTTTTTTTTTTTTGTTTTTCCAAATCTGCAACTAAACTACAGTGCAAAAGTTGATATTGTGTTTGTTCATATAGACAAGTAAAATGTCACATCTCACTTGCCTGTTTGGACAAGTGGTAAAAAAAAGAATGAAGCAAAGGCTTTTCTGGAGCTGATGATGGAGGTAGCTAAGGAATAAGCTATCTCACTTCCTTCTCATCTCTTTTGAGCATTGCACATGCTCAAGACCGATCGGGCATTTACGATAAAATTGCAGCAGGCAACGTTTTTATGAGTTGAAGTACGAGCAAGCTTTTTCTTGTCAGGGAAGTAGGAGTTTAGTTGGGTTAGGGGCTATGGGCAAAACTCCAACTATGTATCGCGCAGTTTGCTGCAAGTTTGAGTGCAAGGCGGATAAAATGGGGCTGTTTTTGAAAGGCATATCAAGTATCTAATCTGGTCTCTGTTTTTGATAACCACTATTAAACAAAATGATTTGAATAGGGACAAGTAACAATAGTTTTGGGGAAAGTAGTAGTACATTAATGTTGAGCCCTTATAGAAAAACATTTTGCATCGGTTTGCAAGTGTGCCGTGCATTCTGGACCCTTTCAGATGTCTTTGATCCTCTTTAGTTGGCAGTCAAGGGTGAAACCACTATGTCAATGCATGTTGCTTGATGTTACATAACATATCATAACATATGAAGTGATGTGGCATAACATGAGACATAACGTGACATAAACTTAAATTACATTATGTGATTTGACGTATGTTAAGTTCCTCTGATGTCTACAAGGCTAAAACTCTCAACTATTGAAAGGAATGGGGAAACCCTAACTGAATCTGAATCCATCTTGCCAGGCATCAAGCTGTGCTGCTTGCCAGCATGAGCTACGGGTGTGGTTTGTGTGACGACGTGACAGTTTGCTCAAAAACGACATTGGCGGATGCTGCTAGCATCAGTTCTATGAGAACTGGAGAGTATTTCTTCATTGAAAGAAGAGCAAAGAACATTGTTTTGTTGACTAAAGTAGTGAACTGTTCCTTCGTTTTGGCTGATATATAATGGGTTATCTTAATTAACATACGTTTGTTGAGATACGTTTGTTAAGTCATGAGACAGTAATGTTAAGTGATTACAGTGATTCAACAGAATGCTTTTGCTTTATCCAGTTTTACTGCATTAAGATATTTGTGCAATACACTTAAGGTTTTATAATTTATTAAGTAGCTTAACTATTACATTCCAGCCAATTAATATACCTTCAATATAAACAAACTTTCACTGAAACCTCACTCCTAGTAGAAATTGTAGCCATCCTAGAATTGAGCTCTTTTCATTTAGTGCTCATTCCTTGAAATTTTTTCCAGCCTGCTCTCACTGCTCTGCTTAAAATGAAAACAAGAAAATACGGGAGGTTTATCACACATGATGACAAAAACAATATTGAAGTTCCAGTTTGCTGTTGATTGTTTTGTCAGATTCCAGTGACTCTTTGTTTAAGCTCTATTCTCTCTGCTGAGCGGCACTTTGTTTGATATTTTATTCAGGGAAGCTAAATGTGTTAGCCCCAGGCTGCCCAGGTGTGTTTATGTGTGTGTGTGTATTTGTAGAAGCATACACTGTAACTGGCCTTGACATTAGCCAGAGGGTTGGATCTGATCTGGACTGACCTCACTCTGTTTTCTCTTTCTTTTTATGTTACCTGTCTGCCTCTCCGTATGTTCACCCCTATCTCTCCCTTTCACCTCCCCCCCCTTCTTTATTTTTTTTAAATCAAACATGTTGCCAAAGCAAAAGTCGTGTATAGAATATAAATAATACTAAATACTAATATTACAGTGAAACAAATATCTAATATCTTTGTATATTTATTTTACTTTATTTTCATAGCATCACTTTGGCATATGAATATAATTTCCTCATTTGGTTCATACCGTGTATTTTTATCTGGGCTCAGATAGCTTTGCTCACTCTCTCTCCATTATATTTGAAAAAACATCCCTCTCCCACATGAAAATATGGCTTTCCACAGTCTTGTCTTATTTCAGCCATGGTTCTAGTGATGGTCGACCACTTTGGACTGAAATATCTTGACATATTTCAAGTGGATTGCCTTGAACTGTGTTATAGATATCCATTGTACACAGAATATAAAAACTATTGATGCCATGACTTTCCCCTAAATAAGTTTTCATCTACGTATATAATGTGACAATCACTGCATGATACTCCCCTAAATCTTACTCACAGTGCTAAATATTAGTAATCTACACTTTGTTATAGTCCTGAAACTCAATTTAGCATTAACAAATCACAAGGATTACAAACTAATTAGTCACCAATTTCTGATTTGTCACACTAAGGCTGGATTTGCATCCCGGACGATCCCCCATTTGTCACATTCCCTCAGCCAGTTTGTGACAATACTTCCATAAATCTCGACATGAATTGTGTCAGTAAGGTGTTGTACAACCATGAGCCTCCAGGACAGGAATTAACACAGTTCCTCCAAAAGATAGTCTCTAATTCCCTCACTGTCTGCTTTATTTTTTTTTATATTCCTCATCTGTTTTTTTAGATCTTTTTAATCTCTCTTTGTGGCTCAGCGTGTCATTCTCTCTCTGATCGCCTGCAGCAGTGTGAACAGAAAATAAAACACTCGCCTACAGTACACATGATCCCTGGACAGTATGTGTACATTATGTGTAGGTGTATTTGTTGCATTTTCTGGCTCTCTGTAGGTGCGTATCACTTGTATGTGTGTGTATGTGTGTGTGGGTGTATATAGTTCCATTATGGTTCTGTTTACACGCCCAGGTGGCCTCAGATTAACATTGATTTTCAGCTCCTGGAAACCTTTAGCTCACAAATAGCGAGCCCGCGGCGACGCTCGCCTCGACTCCCAGAGACCCCCCGCTCACCCTGTGACCCCCTACCCCCCCTTCCATAGCGCAGAGCCCCAGAGCCGGGCAGTCCTACCTTCATCAACTCCCCCTCCTCCTCCTTTCCATCTCTCTATCAAGGAGGGGAAAAAACAGACTTGGGAGCGATGGCGTTTGATGTTCATTGTTGGTCTTGTTTGTGTGTTTATCTGAGCCTGAATGACTCCCTCGGTGGAAAGAATGGGGTGTTTTCATGGTTTAATTGGATTGTTGTGGGGAGAGAGAGAGAAAGAGAGAGACCTGAACAGACTAAGGATGGATACTCAAGCTTGTAAGATGGATAGAAAGCTGCAGAAAGAGGTGTACATGACATTAGTTCTTCCTCTAATATACCTGATGTTGGATCAGGTGTTGAAAGAGTCCTATAAAAAGAAGTAAAATCTGAACTTCTGGGTTCTGTTTCCGAAGTTTCTGGATTTTATTTGTCATTTATTTTTCACATTGTAAAAAGGCACGAGACAGGATGCAATTACTTTTTTAGTATGTAACCAAAGCCATAATCTTTCTTCAACCTGAACCAAGTGTTTTAGGAGCCTGATCTAGAGGTGTGCGAGTCATCCAACTCAATTGGAATAGATCATATGTGAATGTGGAATATGTTCAGCGAGGATATTTTGCGTCAAGACCTCGTCACTCCCCACAAGGATTCACCAAACCAAAAGTATGTGAGAATACAGTTACAGTTAATATTTTGGCCACAATTATCAGGGTGTGAAAATTATTGTGGTGTGAAAAGGTAGGACCTAAACTCCTGTCTTCAGTGTCAAAGTGTTAAGCTTTGTATAGCCAACAATGTAATTTAAGGCCATCACAATAGTGACCCTAACTAATATTTGATTTCCACATCGTATTAGTAGAATATGTGACCTGCTCCATCATTTTGAGTCACTTTGACCCAGAAACACATTTTGAGTTTTCTTCATGGCTGTAAAGAGGAAAGTCTCAGCTTTATGGCGATACCAAAATTATTTTTCTACTCCAAAATTGTATGAGACACGCCCTTCCAAAGGTCGACTGTCACCAAACCTTGTTTTTGAGAAAAAGGGCTCTAAAGATAGCAATCAACATTCCGCCATATTCCAAATGAATTGAAAGACATTTATAAACAGTTTATAGTCAAATAAATAAACTTACAATTCAAAGTGCTTTACATAATTATAATCAGAGACATTGTATGCTACCATCGGGTCAGCCACGAGTGGAATATCTTCCTCCTGGCCTCCGTCACACTCACTTTCTTCGCCATCACAATCGGAGCCGGCCGGTGTCGGTAGCACGAAATCCGAGTCAGACTCGGAGGTCGAGCCGCCGCTGTCACTCTCACTCTCAGCTGCCGGTGCGGTGAAATAGTCCGTAATAAGGTCGATCCAGTTGTCGTAGCATGTCTTACAGGAATTGAATTTAAAAGTCTAGGCTGTCAATCTGTCAATCTGTCTGTGTCTATCTAAACTGACAGTTGACAGATGACATAGATGACACAAACACGCTAGCCGGTGTTTTGAACTCTGACACCTGTTTCGTTTTATTTATGCTAGCTATATTTATCCTTTGTATTTTACATTAATTTTGACATGGTATGAAAGCTGAGACTTTATTTAATTAGAAACATGTAAAAACTGAAAATAGCCCAAAATTGTATTTTCTTGTAAAAACGTGTTTCTACACAAACGGGCCACTGCGACATCCGACTCATTTTGATGGAACGCGTCACATATAATCATATTTTGTTTGAGACAAGGTTGACATCCCATTATAATCCAAAATGTGATTCAGAAACATAAATTTGAGATAAAGTGAATGAAAGAATCTGAAGTTGAACAAGTCAATGTACAGTTATGTTGCTGTTTCTGAGCTTGAGCTGAAGCAATGGTCTTTTCTTGTTCACCAACCACAGAAAATTCCACTCCTCCTCCCTCATTTTATATCAATTTTTAAACTGACACCTTCCTTTCTCTTTAAATTGAGCCTCCAAAGCCCATTTGCAGAGCAAAGTATGATGGTGGGCAGTTACTCACCTAAATT